AGCTAGTTTTTTAGAGTCCGCAAAAAACTGAAGAGTTTTTTAGCTGGTATTTTAGACTCGACAAAAAACTGAAAAGGGTTTTTTATTTTTGATAAAAAATCGCCGATATTTCATTTTGCATCTGTCACGAACGCTTTTTAGTTTTTTGGATATAAAAAAACGGAAAAGTGTTTTTTAAAAGGTTTATTGGTCTCAATAAACCCTTTTTGATAGTTTATTAATCTACTACTATTTTTTACAGTGTAACTACTAAAGCGTTTAGCTGGATGAATTTTGACGATTTCTACACGTTGAAACCCGTTTTTATTCGTTGAAAATCCATTAAAATGACAAAAAAATAAAATTCAACATCGAATTAATTTCTGATACGTGTCTGTATGCATAGATATGTATACAAACGACTATACAACTTAGCAGAGTGAGAAAGTAGAGAAAGAAAACAACTTGTACTTACGTGACTTCGGTGTGATTTGAACGTGGGTGCATAGAATTAAGAAACAAACACATAACAATCTAAGCTAAGAGACCATCGAAACATATACCGTAACAATGCCATGTATTCGATTATTTTAGTCAGACAAAGGACCGTGTTTATTCTGAGACTCTGAATTTCATTTACAGAGTAAACAAATCTTTTCGCACAGAATAAGTATTTCCGCAGACAATTATCTTGTTTCTTATATCTTACTATGTGTTTGACAGGAATTAAACAGTCTGTTTATTAGGTCGATATTTGTGCTCCTCATCCATCTGTTTAACGGTGAAGTCTGATATTGAGTTGCCTTTTATTAAGAAAGTCGCCAGATGTAGGTGACTTTTCGAGACAGGATGTTTCTTCTCTCTGTCATTCGTCTAACTGTTGAACGTGAATAAATCGGCTGATACGGGTCCCACTGTTATTTTCTTTTTTCTTTCTGTTTCTGTTATTCTATCTCAAAACAAGATTATAAAGTCAAATGGCTTTTTTGCTTCATCTTTTATAGTGAAACAATGCTAGCTCAGTTATAAGTTTATTTATAGATAGATTATTGAATAAATTAAATTAGTTGATGTATTATGAGAATTAGATCTTCCCTTTTGTATCCGTTGACTCAAACTTACTTTTTAAAAATTTTTCTAATTATAAAAAAAATGCAAAGATACATTTTAGTCTTCTATTTTAGATTTTACAGCATTGGATCGAAGGGCCTTATCTATTTAAGGAAGATGACCACGTCTGAGAGGAAATTTTCCACTGAATCGAGTCGTAGATCAGAGTAAAATTTAGAGTTCTAGCTAATATATATGTTGAATATTCTAACGCAAGTCGAAAGCTCATTTTAATCCGGTGTATTTGAAGAAAAGAGCAACGTACCCACAAAATTCAGCAGAGGTATAAGATTGAAGCTAACTGTTAACATTTTACATCCCTAGTAGGAGCTCTATATATTTCTTAACCTATTAGGATCCTTCGAGAATTTAGTTTACTATGGACATGATCTTAACAAAATCCTACAGAATCGAATATCGCAAAGTCGTAGAATTTGAATAGTAGGCGATAGTCAGAAAGTGCATAGGATTTTATTTAGGAATAATATACAACATGTAAGCATCTAACGTTGTTATTATCAGCTATACACGTAAACTTTGTCGAAAACGGAAGAGAAAGCACCTCTAAATCTTTCGAATTGTCTTGCATAACACAGTGTCCAAAACTGAATTTCCTAATGTAATGTAATTCACTGAACTATCGAACGCAGCAATACTGACACAAAAAAAAGGTGGGCTATGTAGCTTATAGCGGTTAAAAATCTCATTGAAGGACAAACCGCTACTCTGCTTAGAATTTGTGACTAATTTTTAATTAACTATTTAAGTGTGTTGAAATGTAAGATGTTTCCTACTTAATGTGTCGGTTTTTAATCAAACTGTCACTCACTTTTATATGTACGTTTACAAAGAAATATCTCTCTTCAACATGACTATTCATATGATTAATTCCTCGTTTTTCTCTCTTTTGTCTTCTATGCGTTTAACATCATTTGATTTTTGTTTTAAAGAATACTTATTCACGAATTACTTAACTCAAACTACCAAATGCCATGCCATTCAGCAATTCTGACTTTTAAATGTCTTTTTCTCATGATAAAGCACATGTATTAGAGAAACGTCAATGTTTTTCAAAAGCAAACACAGGAGTTGTCAACAGATATCCATTTTTTTGTTCATATATCCGTCGATTATAACCTTCTTTTCTACTAATGTGTCAAGGTATAGTGCCTATTGGACTCTCCTTTTTGCTTCCATCAATTTTCTCGACTGTCGTCTACTTGGATGCATTGCCAACACCACCCTTCAATTAGTTGATGACACTCAACTTGTTCGAATACCCAACAATATCACTTATAATTCATGTATCTGTTATTCGATGAACAATGAGTATGTTGCTTTTAACTATTACATTGATAATCAAACATGTGTTCTTATAAGAAATTTCACAATTTCAAATTATTTCATTCAACCGATTAATTCAAGGTTTTGCTGTTATAAAATACCATCCCTTGATCAGATTGCTGTCTTTCCATGTAAGTAACATATTTTTCACGTTGAAATGTGTATTTTGACTTGTGTCATTGTTATTACACATTATAGTCTTGTTTTGTAATGCCTGATTTAACTAGTACGCATTTCACATGCGCCAGTGGCGCATGTGAAATGCGTACTAGTTAAATGGTAATGAAAATCGTCAAGTCAGAAAACATCTTAAAAGTCCTAATAGCATAAGTTTTCAACAAGGTCTCTTCTGCAGTTTTTAGTTTGGTTTCTGGAAAACTGTTGAAATGAGTTGTAGAAGCAGAGAATATGTCACAGTTCACAGCGTTTATCTCTGACCGTGGATCGACTTCGTACACACTTGGACTGGTTAGAAACAAATATGGACGAAATTAGGGAAAAAGTCACACACTCTAACTTTAACTTTCGCTGATGCGTGCTAAATTTGTTTGAAGAAGAGTAAATGATTCAGAGGTTTTATTGAGATTATTTAGCAAGTACTTATGAGAAAACGTTTTGAGATGAAGAATTTTGGAGAGTTTCTACAAAATATGAAATGACATAAGTCAATGAAACTACTTTTTACCCGTACATTAAATTTGGCCAAACGTTTCACTTTGAAGAAAGGATAGAAGAGATTATTCGGTAAACTCGGTCCATGTCCGTATTTCATCGACACACGAAATGCTAGATGTAGCATGAATAGGCCAATGTTTCCATGCACTCACCAGACGGTAGACTTGCTCTGAGAAAAAATTCCGTCGAATTAATCAAACTTCTCCTCCTCGTGATATATGTTATGGATCCTATTTTTGGACATTTCTCTCTCACTTTTCCAACTTATCCCAACTATCGAACATCATTCACAAACTCTTTCTCATAGGTATCTTTCTGCGTATCATACATAAGGAAGTAGTCGTTAAGAGGTCAAGTATGTCGGGAAATGTTTCTTTCTATAAAAGAAGGTGTCCTACGTGCAACAAGACACTAATGTTCTATAACCAACTTTTCTCATCCGGTCACCATCGTAAAAATACCAGTGAATAGACACGTTTTCGAGCTACAATTCGATATATATAAGGTCTAGAGTATCCTGTTCAAAACGGGAGTTAAGTGCGAGCGTGATTTTCAGTGGTGTGGATATGATATTAAATTTCTTTTGAGTCCTGGGGCCTATGCCACGCGACTACTGGTAATCCCATCCCTGACTTTCATCGACACATGATGTAGAATGAACAGAAAAGCGTTTCAAAGCACTTACCAGACCTTAGAATCTTGTAGCAATATTTGTTTTTAGAAAAAGATTTTTAAAACTAACGAATGTTTTTTCGAAAATTATGGTTTTCCGGTCATTTTTACCGCCAGACGTGATTATAAGGATTTACCGACTATTCTGCGGACTACTCTTCCGCGAACTAGCTGTTCCTCGAACAGGACCCGGACGCTTGTACGAGTTTGTGTAAATAGATGTTAAGAAAACAGACAAAACAATGAGTATTACTGAACGTAGGCGTTAAAAAAATTTAAAATAGCTTCATGAAATACTGACATACTAGATAAGTATGTGAAAAGCTGAAGCAAAAATTCACACTATGTGCAGCAAATATATTTTATGTGAAACTACTTCTCGAAGTCAATCTCACACTACCCTCACTGCTTTTACCAAATAAGCGCACCGTCCTTGTGTTTACAGGAAAAGAGCCGCTTGATTAGTTTATTGCTCATAGATGTTTTCAGAAAAGTTCAGTTTTTCTAACCGTTTCGCATCTCGTGATGATATTTTTATTTTCTTTAAGAAATGTTCTAACCAATTTTAGCCGGTCACGAGCGATTGCATCCTGTTCAAAGCAAAAATAAAACAGGTATCACCGTCTTCAAACTGAAAAATATGAAAGCTTAGGAAGAATTCTCAGAAATATCTATGTGATTCACAGTAGACCGTCTAGAAAACATAGACAATTCCAAAACGATTTGAGCTCTATTGTGCGTTTTCTTTCGTTCAAGTTATTCCTCCAGTAAGATTTAGTTACAAACCTCATTAAAATTTCTTCTGATTAGGCTTAAAATTGACTCAACTACTTCAAATATCTTTTTCTCGATTTCGGCAAACATTTTTTCCTACTTGATTAAAAGCTTAATTGAAATATAATTGTGTTACAGATTCACTACGTTCATTAACGCAACCAGATGATACTTATTACGGTATTTGTCAAACGGTTGCTGGTGATAACAGTACAGAATCGACACCTGGTATTGATGTTTGTCAATATACTAACACATCAATCCATTACTGGCCTCCATCATTGGCTTTCGATAATAATGTGAGCACAAAATATTTGAACTATGGGTCAGGCGCACAGTCTGCCAGTACTGAAACACAGGGCACTGGAACGGGTTTCTATGTGTCACCAAAAAACGGCTCTTCTGTTTTAAAAGGCATCGTTTTTGCCACTGGCGATGATCAACCTAACCGAGATCCGATTATGTGCACAGTCGAAGGCAGTAACAATGCATCATCGTTCCTTGTCTACGGTTCATCTTGGACATTAATCTATTCAGGCAGCACTGGAATTCCTGCAAGTCCTGCTCCTGAACGATCACAATACATGTCGCCAATTTCAATTAATAATATGATCCCTTACACCGCTTATCGTGTTCTCATCACTCAACAAAGCGGTTCCGCTAATGGTGTACAATATTCCGAGTGTCATTTACTTGGATACTAGAAAAATATAGCACTCCCTTTTTAGTTCTGAAAAATGCATTCTTTAAACTGTAATGTTTCACTAGTAGTACTACCTGTATGTTCATTGTCACCTGAAAGCTGCAGAAATAAGAAGAGATTAATTTAGGGCTTTTCGTGTAAATTCTATAACTTTGCAAAGAAAGGTCGTGTAGAGCTGGGAGATGTCTCATTTTAATCAGAAATGTGCGGGCCACAATTATGTGTCACTAAGAAATGGTTTTGGTTATTTTTTAGAGTTTCTGAAAAACTGGTTTTCCAGAAAACCGGGCCTTCAAAAGTATTGGACCCGAATCCTTTTAGGCTTTTTATTAGCTCGATATACTCTATCGATTGAGGTATAACTCATTAGAAACGGGGGGTATCACCTCGGGAGGTTCCCTCGTCAGTGGTGGCACTTTACTTTTACTTTACTAGTAAATAGTAAATAAATTATTTACTCTTTACTTTAATATAGTAAATAAAATATGCATTATTTACTTTTGTTAAGTAATAAAAAAACAAAAATATTTACTATTCACTTTGGTAAAGTAAATATCAATTTTTTTTAAATTTAATGTTAACATATAAATATTATGTTTATACGAGCTTTGAGAAAAAGAGACAATATATTTGTGTTTACTATAGTCGTGCCTGGATCATGGTTAAACTAAATTTTTAATGACATATCCTGTTTTTGCAGAAACATGTGATAATTTGCTTGTATTCTTTGTGACTTAGTTAGCACAGCGTATCACGGTCATAGGCCGTAGAACATGTAGGCTGAATAAGGACTGAACTTTACTGAGACTGAACAATAAGAGCTTCACGCTCATTGAAATTAAGACTGTGGCTTGGGCGAACTGAAAGTTGACATTTTTGATTAAGCAGCCGTTATTTTGATGCAAATATTCGAGCTTTTTACATGATTATTGACATGTGGTGATGTGAATAACGGTAGTCTCGCCATCAATAATCTGCTTCTCAGTCTCGGGAGAATAGGAATTTAGAAGTTCAGTTTTAGTTCAAACCTGAAGAACTGTCGAACATGTTTTGTGTTATGAACTAATATATTCGGCACACTTTATTTGTATTTTTAAGAGCAACACTGCATTGCATACAAAACATTTGTTTTGCTATAGGAACATCTTCATGCACAACAAATAAAGTTTCTAGGATCATTCAACTCCATGAACTGAACTATGAAAATAGATCATTTCTTATCTGAGAAATTATTTGAGCAGATCCGTCCTACCAGGAGAACTGTTTGAACAATTCTTCCACTCACTGAGGGTTGAGTATGGTTAGCTGATCTATCCCTATATCCGAATCAAAATTCTAAGACTTGGCCGCCCTCAAATTTCTGGCGGAATAGGTAAAAACAAAAATTATCCTTTTCTCGTGTCAAAAACATCTTTTAGTGAACCGCATTCCGTATGAAAATGCTCCATCACCTCCTATTCCTAATTAAAGAAACTGGAATACTAATATATTTTATATAGCTGAAATTGCATTTTTTTACTAACCAAGCCTTTCTCAATTTCTTACATTTCATTGAATCAACTTTGTGGAACTGTATTCAAACTGCCTAGCTGCTTCCTAAGGGATTGATTTCAACTAACTTTATTTCCACCAGTTCAGTTACTAGCTTTACTTTCATAATCTTTATTTTGTAACGTGAAAATCTATGGGTCACAATGAAAGAAACAGGGACAATTACATGAAATGTAACAGAATGAGAAAAAGACACAATAACAAATCACAAAATAAATCTCTAATCAGCAACAATATTAACGCATAATATAAGCAACAGTTAACCATGAAGTGATGAATGATGAGCACTATAACAACTGTAACAAAATAAATAGAGCAACAGTCCATCATATAGAACGCAATATCATATAAACAGTGATAAACAAAACATTATAGCAAGTATAACAAAAAATAACAACAATTCAGCATATACAAAAACTCAACAGAAGAACAAAGTAAGAGAGCATTCACTACAAATCCAGTAACCTCATAAGAAGTAGTTCTCCACAAATCTGTTTTGGATTTTCTTCGCTCAATTCAGAAAATTATTGAAAGAAATTTAAAAGTCTAAACTATTAAGTCGTTCTGATCTATTGCTGTCAGAATAACGATGATCAGGTTACTCGAACTTTTAGAAACACATAAGAAAATTTCTTTTTAACATTCATTTTACATGCTGGTTATTTTCTAAGATTTCCTCTACTTCTACCGATCACTAGTAGTCTAAGATAATTTCATTGGATGTAAAAAACAATCTCTACATAATGAAATATGTTGGGAGTCATGACAGTAGTCTTGATTAATTGATAACGTCGGCATAAGTAAGAGAAAATCTACAGTATATGATAGTTATGCTGCTGCTAATTTTTGTATAAGTATATAAAGTAATGATGTTTACAAAATATTAATCCGGTGTGTGGAAGTACTTGAAATTCTTCGTTTTTGATGATATTATTTAATGAGCAAAAATAATTTGTATAAATATTCATTAAAGATCATAACTAGTGGATAATGATAATTTTCAATAGTCATTCTAATGAATGACTGGTCACTGCAGAGACACGACTAGACTAGTCTTAAGTAAAAAACTAACTTTAGATCCATAAAGTGCATTAAAAACTAAGTACAAAAGTGTTATGTATTTGAATATAAAGGTTAGGGATGTAACAATACCGATATTACCAATACCAATATTCCAATACCAATACTTCAGTAGCAACACCAACATATCAATACCAGTACCAATACTCCAATACCAATATCGTATTGGTATTGCCACATCCCTAACCTTTATATTCAAATACATAACACTTTTATATTTAGTTTTTAATGCTCTTCATGGATCTAAAATTAGTTTTTTACTTAAGACTAGTCTAGTCGTGTCTCTGAAGTGACCAGTCATTCATTAGAATGACTATTGAAAATTATGATTATTCACTAGTTATGATCTTTAATGAATATTTATAGAAATTATTAAAAAAAATTTTTCTTATGTGTTTCTAAAAGTTCGGGCAACCTGATCATCGTTATTCTGACAGCAATAGATCAGAACGACTTAATAGTTTAGACTTTTAAATTTCTTTCAATAATTTTCTGAATTGGGCGAAGAAATTCAAAAACAGAATCCGCCAGAAAAACACCGTTTTTCAGTGATAGTATTGCTTTAGTAACCAGCTGAAGCTTATCATAAAAATATGGTAAATCAGTTCAGCCGATTCTTCGTGCGAATTATCCTATGTGTGCCTATAGTATAAAGACAAGATACATAGTGTAAGATTTTGATGTAAAAATATACTTAACTTGTCGATATGATCGAGAAATATAAATCACATTTTTATATTTACTTTACAAAAGTAAATAGTAAATAATTAATTTACTTTACTAAGGTAAATAGTAAATACTTTATTTACTTTACCTTATTTACCTAAAGAAAAAGTAAAGTAAAAGTGCCACCACTGATTGATTCACTAGTGTCTGTATTACTCGTTAACAATGTGAATATGTATCACACATTACGAAAGAAAATTATAATTTAGTCAACTATTTGATTATTGATAGCAAGTTGTGGCAAATTCTAGAATGCTTGTTATTTCTGTTTTCAGGAAATTTGAAGAAGAATTAAAATTACAGAGATAACATTGTAGATTTCTGGATGACTGATGGAGTTGAAGAATCTCGTCTGTTAGTCAAAAACAGCTTAATTCAGAACAATCTAAAAATACTGACACTCTTTGGAATTCTATAGATCCGAGAAAACGAGATATGCTTTATCGATTTATTGTACGCTGTCCGCTGATTATACAACATCTTCAACATCATCCTGAAATGCGAAAAACATCTTAAGAATATCGTAAAATGATAAAACAACGTAGAAATAAATAAATAACCGAAATAACCGAACAGATCATCAACTGATTGGGGATGACTGTCGTCAAGATATTTGAAGGCAAACTTGACTTATCGTCCGAATGCAAGACTATGTAATACATGGACCAAATAGCTTGTCGACAAAAAGACTCGTCGATGAAATGAGTTGTCTACGAAATAACTGTCGACAGAATGAGCTGTCGACGAAATAAATTCGACAAAATATCTGTCGACTATGTGCTTGTCGACAAAATGTCTGCCCTCAAAAAGGAAAGTTGTCGACAAACTATCTGTTCGACGAATGATATGAAATTCTTCGCGTTCAGCATCAAAAAAACTCAGTCGAACTCGAACCATATATATCTAAATAGTCTGTAGTTGGACCATACAGGTATCAAATGAACAAAGCTGTTATCTCATTTCACTGAATAATGACACAATTTCAAAGTCGATTCAAACTGCTGACAGAGCCCAGTTTTTTATTTCAGTTTTAGTTTCTTAAAAATAAAAGATTTCTGTAACATTAGAGATCGTTTTTTAAATATCTAGAAAATTGTTAAAACTGAACGATTCGAAAAACTGATCAACTTTAAGAAACACTTTAATTTGATACACAAATAACACAGTTGAAAATCTGTAAACTCGTCTAGACTATAGCCCAATCTTTACTCTATCCGTTGATATAAAAAGAATACTTTTGTTTCGTTTATTTACAGGCGAACATAAGCTTGCAAAATATTTCTTCTAAGTAGCCGACTATTTTTTACACCGACTGTGTAAAAGATAAGTAGAAATCACTTTTGTTATATTAATTTATCCTTTGTTTGGGAGTGGAGGTGGCATATTACTGTCACTCATGTATTACATTACTGAGGAAAGTAATACTGAGAGGTATTTCTGTAATTTCGTATTATTAAAGTAGATGGACACCTGCGCCTTGCATACTTTTGAAGAGAAATATTTTGGCTATCGATTGCTATTATTTGAGATTGGATTCCATAGTGTGGTTTGGGAGTAATGAGCTTTCGAATTTTGCCTCGAATGGTACATCAAGGTAAACCTCAGTGACGGCAAAAATGTTTCGTACACCACTACTCTCTTTTT